GAAGTACGTGTGAACAGGTGTACTGTCTGGTACCTTTTAGGAAGTTGTTATATACATGTACATGTACATGTATGTATACCAACATGGGGCTCAGAACAGCTGGGTAAGATTCTCACTGGAGAAATACGTGTAGGATCCATAATTGCAGTAATCGTCATGATTCACCGATGCCATGTGACCTGTGGCCCACTGTATCACACCATAGAGCTACAAACCCATACAAGCTCTATGATCACACTGAACTGATACATGTGCACAAGACCCTGTACACATGCCACTCGGATCTGCTATGGTTTTGTACTTTTTCGCCATGTCTACCCCCCAAAACTCTCCAGCAGATGGTTGGTATGTGAAAAACTAAGTACAAGTGTGGCACAATGTTTGGATCAATCTAACCTGAATGCATGTACGTTACTTGTACCTGTACTTGTACCTAAATGTTCATTAAGTACATGTACACCCATATGTGTGGGCCATTGTATTCAAATATCCAATAGAAGTTACATGTACCTGTCTGTGATATTCGGGTGAATCAGTTATTAGCTTTGTCTGCTATTTAGCCATTGGGGGAGGTTTTCCTGTGAATGTTAAAACCCAATAGCATCTGTATCATCCAGGCAGACATTGCATGTACAAAAAGTTAAAGAAATTTTGGTAGAGTCAAAATGTTAGTACATGTACCGTAGATCTGTGCCTAAGAAATTAGCTATTCCTTTCCCTTTCAAAGTGGGGTACAATATCGTCGTCGACATCATAATTTTTGTCTTGTTGAATGCAGATCTGATAAAAATTGCCGTGTGGTATCAAATGCATACACGTAGTCCACACAGACAGGGACTTTTACTGCAGGTTGACCCGTTGATGCGTTACATAATTAATTTCGATAACTGTGAAAAACGTTCAAGACAAATATCACACCTGACACAGGGTAGAATTCAGACAGGATAATGGGAGATAACGGTTTATTCAAAGGATCCATTTGTGTGGATCAGGTGAATGTAAAAATTGTACCAAAATAGATGTATGTAGGTTGGACCTCTGTCAAATATTGAAATATCATTGACAGTCATGCACCATGTATATTCACTGAATATACACTGCATTGTATATATATAAATATGAATAACAAACACTTTTCTCCGAAAAGCAGATTACATGTACCGGTATGTTTTTTTTTCAACTTGACAATTTATGACTTGTGCGCCCAGTGTGGCTTGTTACAGGTGTAACTTGTGTTGGTCATACATGTACATGTATGTTGCAACTTTAGTTTGATGTCAGCTGTTCCTGAAATTCCTGTTGTTGACTAACTTTTGCCCCTATAGATTCCTCCTGTACAACATGCAGGGGTCAGGAAAGAAGTTTACTAAGTTATAGGCACTCTTTGGGGGATTTTGCACTTGTTATCGAATTTGAGGGACCTTTGCACTTTTCTGGCCTTTACATGTACAGTGTGATTCCACATTTATCCAGAATCATTGATGTTACAGATACGACTTGCATGCAAGCAGCAATTACTTTTCATTGACACTGGATGGGTCAACACGCATGTACATGTACTGTTGTACAAATGCACATACGTGTACATGTAAGTGTGCACTAATACAAAAGCCAAAACTACAAAAATAAGTGGCTTTTTTGGATAACGCTGTGTTTACATTGTATTCTGTCTGAGAGAAGGTTGACTCTGTAACAACACCGAGGTGCTTGTGCCGTCAGGCGTACATGTACATATAGCGCTAATTACTTGTTTGTGCTCGAAGTGCCTGGTTTCACTGTGAAAAGACCGAAAGTCTGAACATTTAACAAAGCATTTGAAGCCATTGTCCACATCTGTAGTACATGTAGTTAACACTGAGACTGACATGTTTATGTACGAAATAGAACTCATTATTTTAGTGTACAAACTGTAGGTGTGTTGAAATATAGTTTTTACATCGTGCATGCCATGGAATTTGTACGTATGCAATTTGTGCACGTTCATGTACATGTACATGTATGTTTTGTATGTAAACAGCTTACATGCAACATTTGGGTGTTTGCCTCATCATGTTGTGATGGACAGCAACAACCGATGCAGGATCTCTGAATGGTACATTTTTAATTTGGCATATCCTCTTATCACATGTAATTTACACACTCAGCACCGTGTTCATTTCAGGATGCCTCCATGGATGCATAGACTACAATGATATATACATTTTCTTCGGTAAAATTAAGACCATGCATGACTTACGATTCAGTCCTCAAATTGTTTTTGAGTGGACTTTTCCGAAGAAATTGTGTAATCCAATGTGATAATTTTCCACAGTGACACTTACAAATGCCCACGCGGTGTACACTTGCAAGTACTGAAAAACATGATTGCAGTTGGAATGCATATATCCTCACAAATACGGGTAATGCTCATTGCGGTCAACAAGGTTCTTGAATGTTCTGGTATATATGAAACATGCACAGGTATGCAGTCCTCGCATGCGTTGAGGTTCTTCAGAGAGAGGTATCACACACTGTCAAGCTATAGTACTAGAGCTGTACACTTAAATCCTCGGAATCCAATTTGGTCAATGTACTTCATTGCTACATGTACGTGTACACGATCCTTCTGGATGACACAGCACAGAATGAGTACACTTTAACCACAATGTTGGGAATGTTCTTCCTAAAGAGCAGTTGATTGATTGATTGTCATGGCATTGTGCCAAGCATTTTTGTGCGCGTTCTGGAAATGAAAAAAAAAAAGAGTTTCGAAGTTGACGTGTACTGTATGTACATGTTCACGTGTACATACATGCAACAGTACATTTTATATTACGTGTACATGTACATGTAAGATTCAACAGTATAGCATTCTGGGATCTGCAAATTATTGTGATTAATGTTCATAGAGAACCGGCGAAGGACACTACTCCTCCCAGATCCATTTATCTAGTGTCATCATATACCGGGGTAGTAATAAACGAGCACAGGTTGGTTTCACTTGCATCTCACTATACCGGTAGATATCACAAGGCTGTGTAAAACATACATGTGAATGTTTACAAGGACTTTGCTTCTAAAGAGCACGTTCAATTTCTTGTTTAATTTGCATGCAAATTACCCGGTAAGACAGGGTAAAACCTCGTCTTTCAGAAAGAAAATGCACTCTACGCATAGTGTACACTTCATGTGCATACATGTATGTACATATACATGTACATACATACATACATACATGTACATACGCGTATGAAATGACTTCACAGTAGCATGCACCTGTGCAGTTCATGCTATTTGCTTGTACAGGAGGTAAACACATTGCCTTGGTAAGCAACATGTATTGTGTGATGCAAAAAGTGACAGCGTGCAGCATAATTATCTTACATGTAGCAGCCTTGCATGCATAATTCGGTCCACGCCATGAATATGCATTACACGTGAACCTCCGATGGTTCAGCATCAGATGATTTCAGTCAGTGTGTGCACCTGTTTATCGTCGCAAGCTCGCTCGGTCTTCATGTATTAGTACATCTATTGCACGTTGTCAGAAATTTTGCATACGGCAGTCCAAAACAGTTTATAGTTTGTCGCACACCATTATAGTGCAATTTCAGTGCAAGAAAAGCCTGAGATGGCGACACAGGGAGCATCAAGCAGGAGTGCGAAGGAACACAACTTAGAGTCAAAAACTGCTTGAGAAATGCAGATGAAATACATGTAGGAATTCCGTGTACCCACCACCACCTGCCTCTTTTCCCCCCTGCATGCGAATCTCCTTCCTTCCAGGAAGTTAAATAAAGCTTTTTTTTGTCAATCATTTTGCCGGCTTGATGAGGAAAGACCATACTTGTAATTTACAGGAAGCAATCACCGTAGGAAGTGTGCCCTTCCTCTTGATATTGATAACAGGGATTACCCCAGCAGGGACCCTAGCTCTTGTCTTGTTTGGTAGGGGCTGCCAACTACCGGTACATTTGGTTGGTCATGACCCTACTTCAATTTTACGCTGTGACCACGTACATGTATAATAAGCTATTACCATCTCGTTGTTTCGATAATCTCCTTTTCCCTTCCCAACCTTTCTAGTATTTCTCACGCATCGTCTTAGTTGTAATTTGAAAGTCTGAAATGACAAAAGCACTGAAGATCAGTGCACATAAACATATATTATTTTGTAATTGCTTTTCCCGAGTGTCTTTGACCAACTCTATCAAAGTCCAACTTTGCCTGTGCAGTCCATATTTCTTGCTAAAAACTCCACCACAGGCATGAATGCATTTGTTGATGGACCTGTCATACAAAGTATACATGATGTCATTGGGACTGTTGCTGTTACAACATACATGTATGCTTCAAGCCTGCTGGACCAAGTCCATCATAAATCCGTCAACATTTGGTCCCCTCAGGCCTTCTTGACTGAGTCCATCAAAATCCACCAAAGAGTGGAAATGGATTTTGATGGATTTGGGGAGGTTAGGGTAAAAAAGTTTCCAACTGTTCAATCAGGACCTTTTTTACAACATGATGTGTTTGTAGTTGTGTGATACATGATGTGAAATGAACTTTTTGAGGCCTATAAGAAAAGTACAGTACATTTTTAAAAATGAATCAATGCCATTGAATAAAATTGCCCTTGGTGGTACAGTGGAAATGATTTTTTTTTAATGAAATACAAATAATGGAAAGAAAAATTAAAATAATTACAATGAAGGTGCCAGGAAATTAATTATTCTTCAAGCCCTCCACAGTCAGTGCTGAAATAAAAGTTCCCAGGTGAAATAAAGGTTCTGCGTTGCTGGCATCTCCATCATGTCTCTGAGGCTGTTTTTGGATATTTTAATTTAGTTACAACCAATGCACAAAATGTTTCCTCAAGCCTATCCCACTGATACAAAGCTCTTGCCCTCTGAGGATGCATTAAATACGTAACCTCTAGTCTGTCCGTCAATCGTAGCTCTGTGGTTGGTCAAGGTCAATTTCATTGGTCATCCTTGAATAGGCTTTTGTTTGTCTTACAACAGATACATGGGGATTGGTTTGTCAACAGAAGACTTTGTCAACAACATGAACAGACTTCCCGGTAAGAGCTGAGTTTTTGGAGTTCTGTTTAAAACCATCATTCTTCTTGTACTGCCCTGAATGACCCTGTCAAACGTCCGGCCAGTCATTCATGCATTTTATGATATTAACCAAGCTTTTTGTCACTGTCACACAAAAATTTGCCATTTCTCATTGGATCATTCCAAACCATCCCACATAGTTTCCTGTTTGATTTGTTTGTTACACTTACTCCAGACAAGATTATCACTGTAGAACTGTTAAACTTTACCTTGTATTGCACCCAATTTCATCAGGGTGGGACAAGCATTCCTATGGTTACCACGGCGACAACGGCCACACATTCAACTCAGCAGGGAACGGTCAGCCTTACGGGCCGACATTCACAACGGGGGACGTGGTTGGGTGCGGAGTCAACCTCATCGACAACACCTGCTTCTACACCAAGAATGGAGTCAATCTGGGCGTGGCTTTCACAGATCTACCTGTGAGTGAGACAAGCCGTTTCTGCCCCCTCCCCCTCCTGTTCCCTTCCTGTCACCTAACCCAATCCTCTCTGTTGCCCTCGCTCTTCACTCTCATCCCCCCCCACGGTCTGGACCAAAGGTCTTTGACCCTCGATGGCTTTAGCTCAAGATGGAACAGATTGATTCGCTTGATATCTAAAGTGAAAGGGCCCATGAAATGTGGTTTTTATATGTTATCATTAAAAATTGTGTGTTTTTATTGGCTATCCAGAATGTAGAAGTTGTTGTTTTGTTTAATAAATGGGAGAAAATAATTTTTTGATGAAATGGCCACGTCCCCCAGAGGTATCTCATTAACATAGAAAATGTGCATATCTGTAATGTACATCTGAGAAGACATAAACTTCAGTCCAGTGTTTGGGTGAGTTTAGAGATCATGCTGACTAGATTTGTTGTCACTGTCTGCGGCAACATCTCTATAATTTAGATTGGACAAAGCTGCATAACTTTCCAACTGAAGCAAAATTTAGACGAATTTGGACATCCGTCAAAAGTCAGGCAGACCAGAGCCAAATGGTCAGGATTGACAGCAAGCTCCAAACTAAGTAGTCTGCATTTCTAGCCACAGTGTTTTTTTCCGAACATGTACCACTCGTTTGGGATTAAATTTAAACGATTGCTGAAGTCACAGACGCCGCGCCCATGATCTTTGGGAAATCAAAAAGAACCCATGAACAAACAGGAAGAGGTACTTTCATGAAATGCGAATGACAAAGGATAAGAAATGCTTCCAAATCGACCGGGCTATTCCACTCACTCTTGTGTAATTACCCATTTGGTGGTCGCGTGCACATGCTTTTATGAGATGCACGGGCATCGTGTACATGGACATGTACATGTACCGGTACATGTATTTTACCTTCCAACAGTCTGCGAGCACGGAAATTGTGCATGTCCATGTTCCTCTCCCTTCCGGACGTACCCAGAGGGTACCTGACTATAATTGTCAGTCGCACATAATGCCATCATTTGTCGGGATTAACCACTTGCTGCCGGGGAGCCCAGTTTCGGGTACATTTTCTACATTTTCATTTGGGCTGCCTGAAATCGGACAAAAGAGCTGGGCCTTGTAATAAAAGACCATACTCGGAACAAACGACCAAGCTGCAGGGAGTTGCCAACGTTTTTTTCAGTTGACAATGGCGGAGGAAATCCGTCATGTTTTGAAAGATTATGCCACTGTTTGTGGCATTCAGCACAAGCGGATTGCCACCGGGGACAAAAGTGCTCCAGCGTTCCAGTGATGAGCGATGCAATACTGCTGCACACTAATCTGGCCCCTATTGAAATGACGTCAGCAATGCACTGTGCCAGTTCCGGGAACAAAAGAAAATTACGTAACACCGCACAATCTGGGCTCTTTTTACCAGGCAGCAGGCCTGGCTGAAATACTTGGCATCAACAGATGTTGCCTGTCCGATTAGAGTAGCCACCAGACAGTCCTTCGTGTGGGTGTAAATATCCAATAAATGAAGTTATGATTTTTTAAAGAATTTTGAAAATGGAAAAATCTTAAAAATGCCCCAGTTTTACGTCATTCAACTTCAAATTAAACCCAGCAGCAAGAGGTTAAAACATTCATTTTAGGGGTCAGTAAAATTAACCACAGCGATGGGAATTTTATCCATTTTTACATCCCTTATCATGCACTAGCATACTAGTGCACATTTTAAACAACAGTTTGTCCACAGAGGTCTTCCTGGATCCTTTAAATTGAGGAACAGCCTGTTTCAAGTTAATTTATAGAGACACTGGAGTCAGAAAAGATTGACCTGCAAGTACCTTACGTAGCCCCACTCCTACATGTGCATGCAGGCTTCACTTTTGTCTCACTGAAGTGTATAGAGCTGCACCATTTAATCAGTGAAGAGATTTTTCTCTCGAAGGGCAATCTGGGTTTTTTTCCATCCACGTGTCTTGATCCAATCACATCAGCCAGTGACTTGGCAAGCTGGCACAGAGTCAAATTGGCCAGTATCACGCTGAGCTGTGCTCACTGTTATGTCATGTTCCATTTTCATATCGAGGTCAATTGTTAATCTATTCAACGCATTCCGTGACAAATGAATATTCAACCGTACACTCAGAAGATGACTTCCCACCAAAAAAACCATCATTTCTGAAAGCACACCCGCTTTTGTTCTCGTTCGGAGTGGATAGGGAGACCCAGCTGTTACAGAAAAGTCATTATCATAACCTTTTGAACCAGTAATAAAATTTATACCAATATCCCTCATTTGAGCCTATTGAAATGACGTCAGCAATGAGAAAAGTCATTATCATAACCTTTTGAACCAATAATAAAATTTATACCAATATCCCTCATTTGAGCCTTCACAATTGTCATGATAAGATCAGATGCTCTTCTTCAAAAAGTTTGAAATGAATTGATTGCCAAAAACAAAGCAAGCTCTGGAACTGGTCCACCAAGACCAATTATCAGTTTTCAGATTAAATTTAGACTGAACCTGAAGCACATGTAGGCCCACCCAAACTTTTTGACTGTGTGCCAAATTACTAGAATGTCTGAGCTGGCCAACCTTGAAGGCCCATTTTACGTTTTATCCTCCAGCTGCAGATGTTACACACAGGGTGAACAAACTTTCCTTGGGCAATTTGGCATTTGACAAAGTTTCAGCTGATTATTTCGTTACCTTTTGGACTGTCAGTGCAGAAATTACAGTTGAAAAATGCAGAATATTACTTACATTGTAAGGTGTTTGCAGGTATTGCTTCTAACTCAAAATATTATCTTTTGGGATATGTTATGAGAAATAAAATGCTGTTCTTCATGCTTTGGGTAATGTAAACTTGAGTCATTGAAAAAAGTTTATCTCTAATAGTTTCTGAATTGCTTATATTTTTTTCAGAGTAATCTCTATCCCACAGTGGGCCTGCAGACTCCCGGAGAGATTGTGGATACAAATTTTGGGCAGAATCCATTTGTCTTCAATATAGATGACCTCATGCAGGTAAAGCATTCCTACATGCTGTGTACAGACTTTGCCTATTGCAAGAAGGTATTACCATACCTCATTCATATTCATGATCGAGGGCCAGATTCTCACTCTTCCATTCGCAATCATGTTCCGGTTTTTTGCTGTGCACCAGGCCCATAGGTGAGGATCCACACTGTTCCCATGGAGCAGTTTTGGAACTGTCATCTGGGTGAAGTACGCACCTGTAGGACTCACCCTAGCAACATACAAAAAGATGGCGCTGGCAGCACTCGTTCATGTTGATCTTTGTGTTAATTGATTTTTGAAATTGTAATGGGCAACTGTATTCATGTACGTATGAGATATGCTCCAACAAATATAACATTGTTTAGTTCGGGCGGATGGTCAGTGGTCACTTCCCTCAATATTGGAAGCCGACCAACTAGTGTGAGGCAAAGCCAATGGATGCAGTTTTGTCAACTTCCAATACATGTACATGTACCTCAAAGATACTAACATCGACTATCCACCCTCAAACCATGTTATATTTTGTGCACCGTGTCGCCTGGCCACAAGAGCGGAGGAAGAAAACATTGTGTGCATTAGCCGGTGTGAACTCGATGGTCGCTGCGGAGGACCAATTTTCATCTGAATGCACGCACAAAACCGCAGCATCAGCAGAGGTCCATTTTGTTTAGCTGTTAATAAATATTTGCTGAGTTGAGAAAAAAAAATGCTCACCAAGAACAGGTTATCAGCCTCAATGTTGTGCATTGAGTGACTGATTCTAAACTGGTTTTCGCTTAGCATCTAAATTAGGCATTTTTGCAGCAAATTTACCTGCTAAGCACAGACCAGTTGAGACTTGAAAGATGCAAATCTCGGGAAGTTTTGTCTGACAGCCTGTCTCTCCTGAGCAGTATTTTATATTGTTGTTTATTTTGCTTGGCAAATGTTGGTGCTGAAAGCTCCAATTAATTTCCCCAGTAACAGTTGGCTGTTTTTATACGCTTAAAAATGATTTCATATTCCATAAGGCTACTGTTTAAAAGTTGTGACTGTTGCTGAAACAACAGTAGTGCCTATGGAAAGCCACTATGCAGCCGTTAGAATTGTAGCCACATTCTGTGTACACGTACATGTATTAATCCTGGCCGTAGCCAGTTGATTAAGAGATGGCGTCAGTGTGAATTTCTTTCCGCTGCCAAACCTTTGGCTTCAACTTCATTTCTATCCACTGTCTTGAGTACAGTTGTCATTAGCACAGGGAGGCTTAAAAGGTCCATGTGCTAGTACGTCTGGACCTCAAACCATTGTTTATAACCTTGAACGCATTGCCTGTTTTATGTCTGTCTCTACTTTCTGCTGGTTGGACTGTTCACATTAAATGACTGGGTAACCATTACCTCTAGCAGCCCTCAATTCTCTAGCCAGTGAAGGATTTAGGATAGGGTTATTGTAATCTGCCATACTTGCATGCTAAAGGTGTGACAACTTTAGACTGAGTGTACAACATGCCAAGTCTTTCATGGCCATTCCTATTCATGGATGATCACACGTAGGACAGACCCCGTTGAAGCACTTAGGCTCCATGAGTATGGTAGAAGATTGCAAAGCAAAACAAACAAAAAGCACCTGCTCACTTTGCTCATTAGCTACATGTAGTATGAACAAGTGCATCCCAGATGGACGGGTAGTTTCAAATGGAACAGATGCTATTGAACATTTTGTCCTTATTTTGTTGAAGGGATTAGCAGAAATTTTTTCTCTGCCAAACGTATGCAGTATTCTTGTACAACATATACATTCATTACTGATGGACTGTCCATGTGCTTTACACCATCTTCTCGAGCCCGTTAACATTCAGAAAGCCATGTCAGCTGTCTGAGTCATACACTTTTCAAATGCAGCCACTCCAGGCAAAAAAACCCAAGCTAAATAAACGTGTGTGCCGTGACATTTACACCCTGGGATGGGGAGAGGCAAGTAGGAGTACAGTCACTCACCAAAGTTCCTGAAGCGTAAACAGCCACTGAATTCGAACTCCCCACCCTGTGATTGAGAGTTACCTGCCAAACGGTATTAAACCCTTCCCTCCCACCACCAGTCCCAATCAGTGCACTTTGCATGGGGTATCGGCTGCTAACTTGCTTAGCAAATTTCTGTGCTTGGCAGATTTATCTACTTCCCAGTAGCAGGACCCCTGATGTTTCCAAGCTCCTCGTACATGTGGTGAGGTTTTGGCATATTCAGTAGGCAGTATTTTCAGTGGACAGGTCCCCAGGAGTTGAGAATTCTGAGATGCCCTCGAATTGTCCTCGAAATGTGATTGACTAGTTGCGTGAAATACATGTAGGACCTAGTTGCTCAAGGAACTGTGTTGCTCTTGTCAGTTTGGTGCTCTGCCAGACTTTCAATTTTTTTTAATGTTGTATTGGCTCGCAGGAAATGCGGATGAAGACATGCGCCACCATTTCCAGATTTCCTGTGCCAGATGACAAGGGGGAATGGCAAACAACGCTACACAGGTAAGGCCAGTGTGTGTTAATTGTATGATTGGCTGTGGGCTGGCACTGCTGAGGGCGATATTTCGCTTGTTCACAGGACAGCTGCGGAAAGTTGGACTTGAGACCTTGGCAACCAGACTTGGAGGAGGTAAACGCAGCGATGAGAATGCTGACCAGTGGGATTTCAGAAGCTTTGAGGCATCTCTTACTCTCACCTACATAACTGAGTAAACTAAATTCCTGTCATTTGATTGGTGGAATGTTGATCACATGTCATGAATTATTCATCGCAATGTAAGACATAGCCCACCACATAAATGGAATGCCCCATTCCATAGGTAGATAAATATATCCCCTAATATGTCCCATCAGGCCTCATTCTTCAGAATTGTTGCTGATTGGACCTTCCATTATAATAGCAACATTTCTACAAAATTCTTCCATGTGTATTTTGTTGTTTAACCATGGTACTTACTTGTTGCGCATCCCTATTCTCAGAATGGTATCAACCTACTTAGTCCACCATGGCTACTGTTCCACAGCCGAGTGTTTTGCGCGGTGTACAGGTCAGACCATTGCAGAAGAGTTAACGTCCATCAAAAACAGACAAAGTAAGTTGGGCAATTTGCACAGTGCCAATTGCACAAATCTTTTTGCTTTGACTTTGCGCAATTCTCCAACGGTCAAAATTACTTAGAAACCCTGCTCAGTCCTTTGAGAAACCCTGCTCAGTCCTTTGAGAAGTCCCACCTTGGTAAAATTTTTCAATCTCCTATGCAGTCTGTTGGTTATTGTTCAATATGGAATTAGTTTATTAATAAAAACCAATTTTTAGAAGAAAATATTCCTCAAAGGGTTAAGAAGACGATGAAGAAATGTTCAGTTTAGAGCTTGGAGGAAAACCCCAAATAAATATACTAGGGAATACCCATGGAATCAGGCAAGGACTGAGAACCCAATCCACATGCTTACTTACGTGGGATTCAAACGTGGGGTTGCAGAGGTGGCAGGATTCACATCCCCTGCTCTGCTGATTGCAGAAACATCCAACATACTTGTAGATGAAGTGAGAAGCCAATTCAGAAAAAAGCAACAGTCTGTCTTTTTGCACTGTGCTGTGGATTAAAAGCCTTGGAACTGTACATTAAACACTGTAAACCCTACCAGTTGTGATGAGTTTTAGATTCAAGAAAAGTACGTTCAGTCACTTTTTGTTCTATTGAGTATGGGCAATAGGGTTGTACATGTACATGGAACAGTTCTGAAGAAATTGTAATCTTGTTGAATCATGTGGCTAACTTGAATTTTACATTATGACACAGAAATACAGAGGCTAGTCTTAGACGGGCGCATGGGAGAAGCCATTGAAACCACCCAGAGACAATACCCGGGCTTGTTAGAAAAAAAACCCAACCTTGAATTCATGCTCAAGTGTCGCCAGTTTGTGGAAATGGTGAACGGTACAGATAGTGAAATCCGCAGCTTGCGGAGTCCTCGGTCACGCTCCTCCAGCCGGCATGCGAGCCCGGCGATGAGCCCCCACCACGAGAGTATATCACTATCCTCCACATCTTCGCATCACATGGAGATACAGCCGTCACATCAGGGAAGCAGTAGCAGCAGCGGCGGCAGCTTCATGCACAGCAAGCTGGGGTCCGGGTCCCCCAAGACGCACCACCAGTCGGACCAGGCCGGGTCCTCGGACATGAACTCCCTGAACGGCTCCCCGAAAGGACAGATCATGAATGGGGGACCTGCCAAGGACGTGGCGCACGACCGGGAAATAGACATGGACGTGGAGTACCCGCATCACCACCTCCACCATCACCACGACGACAGGCCAAGGGATGTTGCAACAACCAATGAGAGAAATCGGAGGAATGGAGCACCGGTCCGGAACGGTAGTGTGCCAATCATGAATGGGTCCTGTCCTGTTGACGACATGGACACAGATGATATAGGTGAGGAGACTTGAGTGGTTTTTTGTGTGGTGTCCCATTGAAGCTAGCTCATCTGTCTCCTTTGTAGAGTACCGAAGCAAGACGTCATACCAAGAACTGTAGTGAAAACGAATGAAGTATGCGCTTGTGTTGATCCGCATTCTGATTCTTGCACTTATTCCTTTAAGTGACATATTCATCCGACTACTCCGTATACTGGTGTGGATTTTCCTTTTAGTGATATGTTGCACAAGTTGATATCGTTTTGAATTCTCTAGAATCTTCCAGTGCAGATCTCATTCTTGTACTTCAACTTTTAAGGGGATACCAAGCACCATGTCAAAATTCAAACGTACCCACACCCTACCTTCCTCGATGCTGACTGCCCAAATAGATTTCCTGATGTTACATTGTACTACGTGTATCTTTGTTTGAACCTGTAGTCCAGTTAGTCTTAGAGCAAAAAAAAATGCTGGCTACTTCCACCTTCTTTTCCCAGTTTGCCCCGCCGTCCACCCCAAAAAAACAAATTGTATCTTGAGTTTGGCTCCAGTCGTCATGCAGTTTGTGAGTTGTTTTACGTGTGCCATAGCCCCATGAATTGACGTTTATTTTGTCGTGTACCAGTTTTTCTTGGAAACCTCTTTTCTTTCTCCTGTGCCAGTTATGGAGCCACGGAGTATGAAGCGGCAGTTATGTGGAGGAAATCTAGCTGCAATAGAGCGCATGCTATCCTTCGGTCGGGAGCTCCAGACTATGTACGACAGACTGTGTCGAGAGGTAGGACGGAACGATACCAACCAGAAAGCATTACAGGTACGTTGTGTGTTTAGTTTCTTGGGGGGGGTTGCATTTCTGATCAGGTTTTCACTAGACAGTTTGTGTTGCCTGTTGCAGCGAGATCAAAATGCTTGAAAGCGTATAAGACTCGAGTTGTGACTTGCAGCACCACTTAAAAAAGAGATTTTTTTAGCTTTTAAGAGAGTTTCTTAGCTTTTCCAACCTAGAAATAAACGTTTTCCTGGAGCAAGGCAATTTTCCATTGTCTCCTTGGTGTTCAAGGACTGATGTTGGATGTCGCTGCCTCCCAAAATGCTTGACATCCAAAGCATTCAGTGTACGTTGGGATTCAGCCAAGCAGAATAGATCAAAAGTTGCTGAAGACAGTGAAAAACATGTCCTCAGATCTGGCACTGTAGAATTTGGGGTTGGCAGGTGTTTTTACTCAATGTCCATATTGATCAGGCTGTCAAATTGATTGCTCTGTCAAAATGAGGAACTGTGTGTGCTCTTCACAGTGCAAGTGAAAACAGGTAGTAGAAAAAGCACTTAAGATTCATTTTGTGGGATTTGGTCTTGAAAGAGAAGTTTCGCAAAGATTTGCTTTCATTATCTGTCTTGTTTTTTTTTTAATTTGATTGTTTACAGGATGCATTCAGCTTACTAGCCTATTCAGATCCATGGAATAGTCCAGTGGGTTACCAGTTAGACCCGGTACTCAGAGAGCCTGTGTGTGCAGCTCTCAACAGTGCCATTCTAGGTGAGTTGTCAATGTTTTAGGCTGAACGCATCCTCTGTAAGGTTTCCACTTCACGGCTGTGTTTGCACCTTTGGCTACGAGCTTCATTTTAAATAAATTTCCAGCCTCATGTCAAGACTTTCTCGCTCAATTCAGCGACGTTTTCTGCTGCAGTAATGTCAAATTGTCTGATATGTGGCAAGATTTTGAAATATTGCCCCCCTGGTTTCTATAGTTGAATTTTTCTAAGCTTAAATATGGAGCATGAGCCAAAGACGAAGGAGGAGATGGGTGTCTCTCGCTCAGATATAATTCTGAGAAAGGCCAGGGGGTTAATTGCTCATGGAACCTTTGACCTGGCTTCAGCTTAGTAAAACATCCATTCATACGCACAACGAGGCACTCCTTCACAGTCTATGTCTATCAGACTACAAGATAGCAACACGAAGCAACAAATGCAATTTCACAAGCTTTACAAACATTTTCTATGACTTCTTTTACACAGTTGTGTCAATTTGTATTCAGCAACTTGCTGGCAAGTTAATGCACTCTCTGATTTCTTCTTGTACAGCATGAAAATTGGCCATATTTATAGTTAAGCTTATTTTGCACTGTTGGTCTAAGTACCTTTGCCTTTGCAAGTGGACTTCTTTCCCATAACTTGTTTAACTAACGTCAGAGTTAAAAGGTTCGAAATTTCAATCCTTGTGGAAGATTTTGCCTTTGAGTAAGATTTGGCCGAGATTGGAAAGTCAGGCTAATTAATTTTGGACAAATTTTCAGGTCACTGTGATCAGCCAGCAGTTTGCAGCTTTGTCTGCAGTACATTTCTGATTTTTTTTTTTTTTGAATTGCAGAACTGCAAAACATGCCGAAGCATCCTCTACTAGAGCTGGCCATCGGTCATACTATGGAGACAATGAAGCTCATGTCCAAATATGGCCCCGGCTCTTGTGCCTTCACCAGCGTCCAAAGCTTCATCCACTAACTAACGCAAACACGGGGACACACGCACACTAGTGGGCGGTAGCCTTTCTGTGTCAGAAACTCACAACTGTGGTCCCCATCATCTCCCGAACTCATGGAACATTGTTCAAGGGAGGGGCTACGTAGAACCTGAATAAAACTGCCGCAAGATCCCACAAGCACAGACAGTTGGACTTGTTTGTTTTCTCTTCAAGATAGTGGTCAGAAAACTACCTTTTCTTCACAAACTGTTTTCCGGGGCCTGATTTATTTAATATTTGCCTCAGAACCTGTCAATATTTGGCACTTGGAACAATATCAAAGGTTCTTCTTGACATGTGAATGGCTCTCACTTACAACTTGTTGATTGTGTGTGGTAGAACTGCTTTCTTGTTGGAACATGTAGCAGCATCAAGTTATTCTCTTGGTGCCTGGCCCGTTAAGGTTGACTACCAGTAAATGGTTCGTCCAGAGTTGACACAGATCAAGCCATACCCCTGACACCCTGCCATAATTAATACAATCCAGGAATTTTCCAACTCGTAGTTGGTTCCACAACTTCTTGGTGATGGAAATATTCAACTGACTCTCCTCCCATTTGAACTTGAGCACAACACCGGATCGGAATCTCCTTCTTTTGTGGGATAACTAAGCCACAAGTGTCCAGTTACCTTTGAACTGCTGGTTATTTTGAAGTGTTGGGTAGCTCCCAAAATCTCCGAACAATCCTGCATAGCTGTTGTCGACTGTAGACTCATGAGTGAAAGAGGTGCTCGTAACGCAGGCTGTGCGAACCACATGGGGATTAAACCTGTACCCCCTTTCTGGAAAAGTTGTCGAGGCATTTTGGGGTCAGGGGTTATCGGTAGGAAAAGGAAGAGGACCACTTGAGGAAACTGTCAACACAAAGCCAGCTGAAAAGAGCGTTCGCGTTGCCAGAAAAATGAGTTTTTCACCCAAGTTGTCTAAACTCCATGAAAGCAAAGGACAGACCACAAGGGTAGGTGACATAAACATACATACATGCTTGCGGCTGGAAGGGACTGTTTGTAGTTAATGTGCGTGGACACGAGCAATCAGGAAGAGTAAGACTGAGCAACATTTCCGGTGGATTATTGAAGCATGAGTTCCGAAGCAATTCCCAAAGTACTTTGATGAACATTCAGCTCGCATAATAAGGTATTTTGTGTCCGTCTCCTCGAGGTAGTAGTAACAGGGGAGGAAGTTGTAAACAGGTAAAGCTTTGCTGAAAAATACAACAGAGGAAAAAAGGGTCCAGCCATTGTTTTTAGCATCAACCATACCCTCAACCCCACTTTTCTGGTCCTCAAAGCAGAGTCAGTTATTGACTCCATAAAATTTGAAATTATTCCTGACTTTGTACTGAAATCAAAATGAACTAGTTTGGTATTCCAATAGCACACGCCTAAATTAAAGTGTATCTCGGGTCATTCGGGAACAGCAGCATGCACTGTGAGTTCCCCTATCAGCACCGCTGTGCGCTGACTCGAACACACCCAACGTGTTTGAGCTGGTGTGACGTCAGGTTCCTTTGTTCTCGACTGACCTTCCTTTTTTTGAAATACCAAATTGGCTCATTGGATAGTAATTTGAAATGGGTTGGATTTCTTTCTTTTTAAAAAAAATTAAGTAGCTTGTGTCATTCTGAACCTCATTTTAATTTAACCGAGCAGCTTGAAAATAAAAGGAGTTTTGTGAAGTTCTAGAACTGTTTAAACTCTGATGTCATTAGCAAGAGGAGGCTACCTCACTACTGTGCAGCATCTTTATCAGTCAAATTTTTTTTAAAGAATGGTCCGGCCAAACTATGTACCGTTTTCAGGACTGTCAAAAGGATGTGCAAAAACGGTTGTGCGGGACTCAACGTTGTTCTGCACATCTCCTCCAGACACTTAGGAGATTAAGGATTGTTTCAAGGAATGAGACCAGACAGGGGGATGGATGTGCATTCCGCATACCTCAAGAAACTGTGTGACGTTACGTTAACTTTAATCAGGGACTGAACAGAGAGAGATGTTGTACATAAAAAATACCAGATCGCATTGGGTCCTGTGTAGAAACTCAATCTTACTAGGCAAAAATAACATTGTTGTGATATTGCTGTAAATTACAAATTTTTACCTAAGAGTTCACAGTTCCCTGATAGAAGAGCTTGTCTCTCTCCAGTTTACTTCCAAACAAGCAGAGGTGTTTTCGATTTTTTTTCTTTTTTGTTTTGTCTTTGTTTAATTTTTTTTTCTTGGTTCAGAAAAAACACGGTTTTCTTGCATACTGGATAGAGCAGAAATGTGAAGGAAGTTTGAGAGTTCAATCTCAGTCACCTAAAAGTGTGTTTGCATCACTGAATAGCTCTATGCCAAAGTGATGTTAAGTGATACGTTGGATTAGACTTGGCCTCGAGTGTTCTCGTTTGCTGTTTATCTCTACGACACCCTTATGCCAAACCCGACAAGATTCCTTGGGACTGTTGCACCGTCCCCGGAGGGCCAAGACTGAGTTTGTTTGGACCACTTTGCATTACATTACAGAAAGGCAAAACTGTGGTGAATGCTCTGTCGTTTGCACTCTATTCTGATTTGTGAACTCGGTAGAACTAGCACCAATTACTCGTTCTCAGTACGCTGCAGTAGCCAGGATCAACTCCCACGAACCTTTATGAAACCTGCAGTTTAATGTGGCCCCAAACTGTGTTTCGCTCCTAAATGCTGAACAGAGTGAAGTGGTGCACATTGTTTGGCTGTAAGTTTAACGTTAGTGCTTCAGTGGAGTAATGCAGTGTGCATCCTTACCTGTACGGTTAACACGGCAGGAAAAGGTCGGGCAGCACCTGTTATGATGTGGGGTATTGGGTTAATGAGTCATGACGGTTGATTTGAAATTCAAATCATTTGTATAGTTTCCCACAACATCTGTAACTACACAAAACCCCATTTATTGATTTGTGGTTTAAAAACAGCCCATTTGTGGAATTGTGGACACTAATTGAAGCTACCAAGTGTCAAATCAAGAAAATGCAATCAAGTTTTCTTTTCCTTATTGTTTGATTGTCAAATCCAATTATTTAAACGAAATTGTTTGAAATATGACAGAAGTAATGTGTTATGTTATTTGTAAATTTATAAATTACCGAGTAGTCTAGATGTTTTTAATGAATTTTTTGGCACATATAATCTGTACAATTTTATTCCATTCAAATAAGGCTGGATATGTTCGTAAGCTGTTGCTTTTTCCTCCACAAAAAATTAAACGATTGAAGTATGCACAGCGGTCATCATGCCCCAGAAGTACATGTACATGTATAATTTTGTTTCAGAAAATTCGTCCGAAATATGAGGTATGGGCTATATCGGTAGTGTATTTATTTTCATCGTTGTACTTTTTGCTGTTACTGTTGTTTTAATCTGTATCAGCATAAAAATCTTTCTTGTGCTGGACAAGTCAAAGGAGTGAAGGCTCAAATAATATTACACAAGAGAAAGGTCTTACAGTTTCAGTCTGGGTGTTCTGCAGAGGTTCTGCATGGCAGCCATCTTCCTGGCAAGTACTTTGGGGGGATGTGCACAAGAGGTCTACTCACGTGTACATCCCAGTGGAACAAAGCACTGACCGGGAAGATGGCCGCCGTGCAGAACCTCTTTAGCAGTGTTGCAGTAAAGTCCATCACAAGGTCCTGCAAGTCCATCACAAGTCATCCAGTCTCAAGATGCGTCACAAGCCGTTGAAGGGAACTGTGACACAAGCATTCCCTTGTCATTGTTCACCCTGTTACTTGTGACTGGTCTTGTGAAGGGACTTGTGACTGGACTTTGGTAGGACTTGACTACAACATGGTCTGTTACAGCTGGCTAAACTTTCTTTTGTTTTGCCAAAATAAACTGCCTAGTTACAGTACCAGTTTGTGGACCAAATTGCCTTCTGGGTTGTAAACAAGAATACAGAGGCCGGCCAAACGACATGTACTTTATTGTAACCAGCAGTAGTTAAATACATGTACATGTGCACTGTACTAAATTGGCCGAGTAGTCACTAGTTACGTACTCATAGCATGATATTCAGTTTTGTCTGAGGTACTGGCTGAGAGAATGTCAAGTCAGGGGGGGAACTCACTCGTGCAGGGACAGTTTGATAGCTTTTAACTCTGTGGTTTTCCCTTTGAAATTTAGCATTTTGGGGGGGCGCATAAACCCAGACTGAGCTTGTCTGACAAAATTGACACCAAATGCCATGCTGCTCTGATATTTCATGATAGTGCATGGCCAAAAGTGGCCAGAGTTTTGACAGCGTATTCCTGTGCGACGGTTGTGTTACTTAATGCTCGTGTGCACATTGCGTACGGGCTTCCAAGACTCCTGGCAGCAGAGAGGTATCGTTGTTGAGTTTTAATAGATCAGCTTTCGATCCTTTCACTGTATCAGCACAGTTCGATTTTAAGGCAGTTGATTACGTATTTGCATAAGCATCTCAAGAAGAGTGTGTCTCCTTTTTTTAAATTTATGTTCCTTTCTTGTCGTTTCATATTGATAAATGGATACGTTGTGCAGAGGTGAAAACATGAAAAAAAAACAATTTAAAGGTAGCCATTTTTGTCTATTTATTCCCTGGCATTTTTAGAAAAAGATTATGTGATTTTTTTGAGAACTATGTAGTGTATACATGGATTTATAAAAAAAAAAACATGTATTGAGGAAGATTTAATGAAATAATAAATGCTGCGCGTGTGGCAGATCTAACCAGTTGGTGATTGTGGTGATTTTCATAAGCCCAGGCACAGAGAACACGGAATAAAACTCAGGATTTTCTTTTTTTTTTATTGTGCATTTATTTAAAGAAAAGTAAACAAATAGTGGCATATAGGATTCTACAAAATTCACTGTACTTTGTAACTGAGTTAAATCGTGTATAAATAGTTTTTACAGATTTTCTGCCATCTTCAAATACAGAGAAATCTACAGAGAAGAAAAAGTTGATCTTATTGCTGAGGAGAAATTGTTCAACGTCTCTCTACAACATTTCTGCGTCAAGAACTTCACTCACTTTGCTGTTTAATTCTAATCGGTGATTAAGAAATGTATTTTTCTGAGACAAAAATACACAACAATCGAGACACTCCTTTCCCCTGGGAAAATAAAAAGTGGCAGAGAATTTTCTGTTAAAGAGAGGTTTGATATAAAATCAAATACAATGAACATGAAATCTGTAGTATTTGCTTTTGTTTTCATTCATACCCCTGGAAAGATCTTTTAAGTGTAAACTACGCAAAAGCCTTTTTTCTAAACCCCGCCTCATCCCAAATGCAGTTCCGTTCATCAAAATACAATGCAAAAGTCTATTTCTCTATACAAATTTACATGCATTATTTCTGTACAAGAAAAACCAACTCTATACCGGTACATCAATCATGGAATTGGACTCGCATCTTTGATGACCGAACTCAAGTCTGGTTTCCTATGGTCAACAGAGAGAAAAGCATCCAACCCAAACCTTAGTTTTAAATGAGATCTGGTTCGAGGTAGATTGTTAGTACCAGTACTTGTGACACTTCACAGATCAGCAAAATCCAACCCAACCAAACTTGCCTTCCGGTTAATTTTTCTCTCGTTCAGAAGGGTGCAGTGTGGCATACAAAGTTTAAAGGTGACAGGCTTTTAAAAACTTGCTACTCACACGTCTGTCCCCTAAAAATGCCTTATTGATTCCCACTCTCTGCCAGTCTGCATTTCTGTTTTCTCCAATGTGGATCCCAGGTTCATCATGGCAATTTGCTCTTACTTTCCCTGGCCTTTCCTCTTGCTGTCAGCCTTGTATTTCTCGTGGAGGGTTTTCCTGAAGGCGGCTGGATTCTCCCAGAGCTGGGCTGCCTGGAGGTTGAGGGGACTTTTAATGTTGGGCGCTGTCGAAAGGTTAAATATAAAACACGTTACTCAGTCTTGCCTGCAAGTTTGGACATTCCAGTTCCCTTGTTCTATACCTTTCAAACGTGGCATTAAAAGTAAAAACGACTGAACAAAAAAATCTTCAACAGATTGGAATTTTTTTTGGAACTCCCAACTGTATGCCTGAACGAGATATTCTCATGAGGGGAGAAGGTCAATGGCAGTACATGTATATTCAGCATTGCGAGTGGCTGTAGATTGAGTAAAAATATACTTGTGTATACCAGGCAAGATATGGGACGGAGGGGTACCCCCCTTACCTGTCCAATCCCTTTTCACACTCTAGACTATTATTACCTAACACATCCCCCCCAGAAGTCTGTAAAGAATTCCTGAGATTCGGATCAAACAATGACCAACACGAAGGCGGGGGGGGTTCTCTCCGTCCCATATCTTGCTTCAAATGAACTTGCGAGGCAGTCAACATGCATGACACGAAAAGAGTGAGCTGTTACCATCAGACCCCTAGTTTAGCAAAATGTCTCACACATACACACATGATTGAGAAGGGGATGGTGGGAATAGAGGTAAGTGCAGATGAATATTTTAGATTCGGGAAAGGAAAGCAAGGAGGAGTAACAGGATGCCATTTGAAATCCCATTTGCTAGGACTGAGACTTATCGAAACTCATTCTTTGTAAGATCTTCAAGGGAATCACCATTACCATCATCAGAGACTTTTAAGGGGGGCACTTACAGCACACAGGCACACTCCTGAGAAACTTTCAAAATGAGCTCCCGTAAAGCTCTGTTTTGAACAGATGGTTGTCACAACTTGAATTCTGGACTCGACCGTCAACAGTCCTGAATCCTCCAACTGTTATTTTAATTTATATATGCACGGAATGTGCATATATCGTGTCCTGAGGAATATCTGGTGTAGGAGATGTACTGTACATACATGTATTAATAGGGCTGCAACCTGAATTTGGTTCTATTCTGACAAGAAGCAGAAATCTGTCTCTGCACCATTATTCCTTGAAATGGACTTGGTTGTTGAGTGCTTTCATTTTTGAAAATCTCATAATGCCAGAGCAGACTGTGGCATCTCAATTTGGCTCCTCCGACACCCCCCCCCATCAAGCAGACAAACAAAAAATTCAGTGTCTGAAACCACAGGGTCCCTCCGACAGTGGCCCCACCTGCCAAAAGCCCCTGTATGGAGAGCAGTATGGATGACACCGTGTAGGTTGGCACCCACTCCTCCTTCAGAATGTCAAGGCAGATGTTGCCCTCCGTGTCCACGTTGGGGTGGAAGCAGGGAGTCAGGAACTTGACCTTGGGGGCAGAGACGGAATAATCGCTGGGGAATGCCATGGAGAGTTTGTAGTGCAGGCCCTCGTACATCTGGAAGACAGGAAAATTGAAAGTACATGTGTTTACCCCACTACCATCCCCAAAACACAGCTTTGTGTAATTATGATTAATAGTGCAGTGATGTTACAAATTGAGAAAGCTGCATTGCTCGGCTTGGTGGGTTTGCATTTTGACTGGGTGCTGTCAATGTAGTTTACATTACATGTACTTCAAAAACTTTCCTCTTGTGCAAGGGATCATGTAAGTTCTCGCTGCCCCTAGAACTGAATCAGAAGATTAGCATTACTCAAATCTAACCACAACATGTGCATGGCGTTAGGAAACGGACGGTTTTGAGTTGTCCGAGCTCAGGGTCAAGTGACTTGATCACTCACAGAATCAGGACTTCCTTCCACTGTCGCCTTCCAAAGGAAGATGTTGTCGCCATCGGGGAAAGCAGATATACCTTTGGGCGGACTCACCTTGAAATATCAGTAATGGAAGAAAGTGTGTTATCAGTACCTGCAAATGACTGTTTGACACTAGGGGATGGAGCTGTGTGTGAGTGGGGGGGGGGATTGTATGCAAAAAATCTGTCACTGCATGGCTGGGGGCTGTATGAGATGGTTTGAAACAAAGGGTGCAATCCTGGTTGATTTCAGTTTAAGAATGAAACAATTGGCAAATGTACATGAATTATGCAGTCCCACTTCAGCAGTAAAGGAGCATTGGTACAAGTGCAGAGTTGGGGAGTCGTACATTATTGTTAATTATCATTATTATTATGAATTATTTTTACATGGTGTATTCGTAGAGTAAATGTCAGTCAGTTGCACACCAGTCAGTTGAGGACAGAGGTGGAGCTTGCATTATCAGTCATGTTAGAATCTTTAAATTATGCAAGAAAGTGTACACACAGTAAGGCGATTCACAACAGTGCACCTCCAAGAGTTTGTAACGCGTTGGCCGATCACAATGTACGAAATCTGTCAACCCTTTCCAAACGCATGCATGGGGTCAACAGATTTCACGTACTGTGATTGGCCAATGCATTGCAAACTCTTGGAGGCGCGCTATTGTGAAACGCTCATATTGGTGGACGGCCAAAACCTTGACCAGTAGATGAGTGCAGCCAATTCTGGCACAGTCAACCAGTCTGTGCAAGCTGAATCCAAGGTTTCACCCTGTGTGATGGGTTTGCGATAACATACGTGCAAACTTTGCAGGTATGTTAGGCTCTGAATGATTGAATGGGACTCTCCTTATCACTACGTCCTTACATCGTCTGCTGTTAATAAGCCTCCTCTTTGGACTATGAACCTATGCCATCACTGTTAATAACAGTAACAATGGTTCAAAGAGAATATAAATGCCAGATGCTGTCAAGCTATAATCCTAGAACTTTGGGTTTGTCATACGCTCCGCTCTCTCTCCTGGAGCACACTTCAAACCCCCATATTCTAGGGGTAGTCAGGCTACCTATCACCAGACCATGTACAAATGTTAAAAAAGGCAACAAGAAGGATGTCAGTTACTGGAATGAAATAAGATGATAGTTTGTAGAGTCCAGGTCTTTCAGTACAATAAGAACTCTGGGGTTCATCGTCCACAGCTCAGTGGATGACGAATCCAAAGTTCTAGGGGTAGGGCCTACGTCCTCAGATCAATTTCCGTCTGTAGATGGCGTCAGCTCTTCCTGATAGCAACAGATGGTCAAATGGTGTGACATCCAACATGTGTACTGCCAGTGTGCCACGACAAACACCAACTTGGAAAGAGTTCCATATACGGACGCCACTTGATACCCCGTGCACAAACCCTATCTGAAACATTCTAAGTGCATGTATTTTTTCAGTAAACGACGTGGTATTTACCCTCCTAAATTGAACTATTCTGGACACGTTTTTGCTTTCTGATGGCTATTAAATCACTGTAGGGAAGAATTACTGGTTCCGTATATGGAACTCTTCCCGCCAACTTACCATAAGCTGCATTAACTCTGTTTGAAGTCTGTGGGAAAAGAAAGCAAAAGGATTTACATTAATTCAAACCAGGAAACATGATTAATTATTCATGTCATCATGATCTGATGATTAAAAAGCAGGTGGGTAAACATGGCCAGAGAAACCTTGAAAACAAGTTTAGGCAACTTAACTCACCATTTTCAACATGTTCAACCTTCAGACCTTGTCAGACCATGGTCAACTTTTGTCTTCTAATCTTCAGTCAAAAATATGAAAAATGATGGAGAAAGTTCCCAGACCAAAGATGCCAAACTACCTAAAAAATAAACATGCTAGGCCTATGTTTCAAATTAGACCCTAAAAATCACTTCTGTAATCAGGGTAATGTGAACTTTAACTTAGTTAAGGACAAAGGCCCAAAGAAAACAATTCCATGGTCAAACCTCTTTGTTACGTTGTGATTATCTCGCTTTTCTGTCACTTTTTTGGTTGAATCCTTTCGCCTGTTGTTGGTTGCTGCAACTGTCCTCGGATCTACATTCTGCGCCATGTTTGTAAACCTTAACAAACAGACGAAATACAAAGCTACATGCAAAAAAGATGTAGGTCTGCTTGTTCGCTCTGAAATGTACGGAGTGTGCAAGCAGCGGCCGGCGGTCAGCTAGCTAGCTAGGGGTGCAATGGCTATTTTACCATTTAAAAATGGCGCTGTGTCAACTGCATCCAATCATAAAATATCTTGAAAGGAAAGGACCAATGAGAGATAAGTTTTCCTCAAGCTCCGCCCTAACGAGAAAGTTGAATGAACTTTAGAAAATAGAAATGGCCGCCCCCATGGTTGCCTTTTTCTCAGAGCTCAAAGAAGTATCGCGCATATTGTGTGCACGGATATTCTGCATTTGAGAACGAGTTGATTGACTAATCGTGCTGCATGTGCACAATACATGTACACCCATGAGACACGTAACTTCTAGCTCGAAGAGTGAAAACGTTGCAGGGCGGTAAAGCTTCACTTTTCAAGAAGTATGGCAACAAGAAGAAGAAAGGGGGATCAAGAAGACACGAAGCAGAATTTACCCTCAGTGTGGAAACGGGTGTTTGTATCTGGTTCAAAGTGGCAAGAGAAAGTAGGCCCTGAATTTTTTTTGTTTGTTTCGCTGGGTCATGTTCAGGATGTTAGCCCTGTATCATGGAGTATTTAGCGTCAACAAAGCGTCAACAAAATATTCAAGCATTTTTATGCAAATATTTTATATTTACAATATAAGTAAGGCTCCTACATATCATATTCAATGTATCACGTTATCGAAAATGATATTTGAGTGTGGAAATTGGAGCGACAAAGTCGGGCCTGTTCGTGCAGCCCGACCGGCCGCCATCTTGTTTTCGCGTGGACGGCCTGGTAGGAAGTGACTAGATACTAGCCCCACTAGTGTGGCACGGATCACTCCCGATTTATCCTTAGACACACATCTGTCTACGCAATTTCGTGTCGGCGTTCATTCCGGCGCACCCACTTATCATCGCATCGTGGGTGCAATTTCTTTTGCACACGAACATGATTCTTGACCTTTCCGCTTTTTAAAAACCATTTATTGAATGATTTCACTCTCGTTATTCAGGTATTTTCCAGTCTTTTTGCATTTATCCATTCAATCTAATGGGCTCGCTGTCTCGGTAGCCATCTTTCAAATAAGGTCGTTGAGCATTACGTCACTTGACCCTTCATCCGCTTAATTTTATGAGCTAAAATTGCACCGGTATGTTCACTACTTACGCTGTAAAAAATCCACTAGGTTGCTAATTGTAGAAAACTCGCCTTTTCCTCGTTTGGAGGAAAAAAATGTCTCCTTTTTCTGCCGTTTTCCCACTCCGGACGAAGTTTCCCCACTCCGGACGAAGTTTCCCCACTTGCACAAAACTGACGGCTGTTTCGTCACTTTCGTGTCACATTACAGAGAGCGAGCCACGCTACCTATGATTTGCCACAAAGAATTGCGTAATAGCTGCAACACAAAACAGCTGTGATCTTCTACAAGTACTTAGGTCGACAGGTACTCTCGCAGATCTAAACGAGATTCGGAGGTGCTGAAGTCTGGTACAAAGTAGACAGGCTCTCGTACAGGCTACCATTACTTAACCATACAAAAGAGTCTGTGTAATGTACAAGTCAGGCCAAAATTCACACTGAGTGGGAAAACGGCAAAAAAAGGAAACATTTTTTCCTCCTAATGAGGAAAAGGCGAGTTTTCTACAATAAGCAACCTAGTGGATTTTTTATAGCGTAAGTAGTGAACATACCGGTGCAATTTTAGCTCATAAAATTAAGCAGATGTTTAGTTATGCCCTCGGATGTCCTGGATAAAGTTTTCAAAAGAAATCCCTGTTTATCGGGACAGGGCCCAGTATACGACGAAGGAGTATTCATTGGGCCCTGTTTACTGGTCTAGCGGCCTCAATACATTACGAAAAACTGTCGTTTTTCTGTGTGAATCTGGAAGCAAATTTGATGTTTCTCTTACACAGTGACAGGTCTCAGAGTCAATTATAATAAAACCACTTTTGAATCTCTAGAGGGTACTTTTGAGTTGCTTACACTTTGTTGATGCTAATTGTATGTGTTGACGCTTGTTGACACTAAATAGCATGACCGGTTTCGCTTTTTATTACCCCCAGAACTGTGGTGTCCGACGTCCGCTCCTCTCCCACGAACCCCACAGAAAAAGAGCCTTTTTTGCCATAGGCTATGCATGACATTTAACATGGCACGAACAATGAGTTCCATTCGAGTTGTGCACCCATAAATATGTTGCTTCATTTCCCCCAAGAGTTTTATGTAAGATAGCTTACAAATCTTTGTTTTGAGTACCAAGAAAGAAAAGGGCCAAAACCATGCCAAGTGTTGAGCAAAAACGGTCGGATTTTGACAGATTTTGAAATTGGAAATGTCATTAAAGTCCCAAAAGTTTTCCTTTGGCACTTAAGAAAGCCAGTAGGTGGTGAAAAAGGTATTTTTGGTGAGTCTTTGGAATTTTTGAGAACCATTGTCACTCTACTATATGAAATGTCGTGGAGCGTTAGTATGATCGATCCCATCCAAATTTGAAAAAGAGGAATACGAATGCTCCACTTAGTAGAGCTAGACTGTCTGGTGTGTTCGTACGTCGCCATGGTCGCCGTTTTCACCGGCACAGTACGTCCCATTTTGCGAGAATCCCAGATGTCCACGCTGCCCCATATGTGGCCGCCTTAGTCACATTTGGTAGCATGTGACAATGACAGATGTTGTACAAAAGTAGTACAATGTAGTCGAGCAACTGACATGACTGATTTGTTCCCTCAACATCAGTTTATAAATCACTGCAAATCAAGGGTGAACAGAATTTTGTGTCCTTTCCCTGAGAACATTTGGGATTCTTTCAAAAGGAAGGGGTTTACATGTATACATGTTGTATCCAGATACCTTACATTCATTCATGATCATGACCATATGCTATAGCCCAGGGGATACAAATCTTCAAAATGCACCCGTTTTGACTGTTTGTCTCTCTTTCCAATAGGTTTCAATAAGGCAGAGAGTCCATTTTTTTCATACTTACCATTCAGCACCAGGAGTCATCTCATGTCCTTTGTTTCAGTGCTGTTCTTGTCACTATTTTTGTCAGTTCTTTATTGTACGCCCATAGGATGAATTCCTAGACGTAATCTACTGGGGAAGACAGCTGGTTGCTATGCTGTGTGGAATACTCTGGGGCATCATACCATTGAAAGGTTTCTTAGGAATAGCTTTGTAAGTATAGTGGATATAGTTACAAGCGTGTAAGACCCCACCAATATTTGCACATGAAGGATTTTGACGAATAAAATTCATTTCACTGCAGGGTCCTGACTTAAAAACCTGTTAAAAATAAAAATTAGGTGTACCAATTGACTGCCTTTACAGTTGCAGTCTTTTGCCTACCAGCACTCCAAAACTATGGCTGGCCATCAGCACAAATAAACAAGAGAGTAATTTACAGTGTTAAAAAGTCTCACACAGCTCTTTCAGCATTATACTACTACTTAATAGTACAACATCTAAAGAAAATCCCTGTAGCATAGATTGGACAACTATGAACTTTGATAAAAAACAAAAAAACTTTTGCCATCCAGGGGTGAACTCTTTGTCCACTTTGGCAGCCCATACAAAATGGTAGGTGGAGTTTGTAAACAGAATAATGTCTGTGGTAAACTGCCAGAAGGTTGATACTAACAGCAAACACTTTGATTTCCCAAACCCCTTCCTGTCCCCCCCCATCCCGTTTGTGTTTGTAGATTCTGCGCGGCCAACGCAGGTATATTATATGTGTACTTCACAAGTTTCCAAGGTATAGATGAGGAGGAATACGGTGGTGTGTGGGAACTGACGAAAGAGGGATTTATGTCATCATTTGCGTTATTTTTGGTAAGGGCAACAGTTTTCAGTATACAGTGGAACACTGTTACAACAAGGTCCTGGGGACTTCACAGATTTCCTTGTTGTAATAGTTACCTTGTATTATCAGTCATGGAAACAAAGAAAAACAAAGACATAGGACCGAAAACTGTCCTTGTTATAAAAGACTTA